TGTGAGATTTTTTTTACTTTTTATTTTTAATTTTTTTAGAAATAATATAAATATAAATATAAATGACTTCTAAATCTTTAATTTAAAAAATAAATTAAAAAATAACAATTACCATAAAAGATATGGAGTATATTATTTCATTTTGCTTGGGTTGGTCTTCCATTAGGATGGAGGCCCAACGAGTGCAACACAACTGAACCCAACCCAACCCAAATATGCAGAAAGCTAGGGATCCTAGAATAGATAATATCAGCTTTTGCTAATATACTCGCTTGCGACTTTGTGAAAGCGCGTTAGAACTTTTAGGGGTCGTTTATTTTAGAAGTTCGGAAGCTAATCTATTGGGTTTAATCAGTTAAATATAAGTATTTAGTAAAAAAGTTTTATTAATTATTAAAAATTAATTAACAATTATAAAAACCCTTAATATTGCATTTTTCAACAAGTACGTTGAGTAGCTGTTGAATTTAAAAATATTTGTGATTTAATTAATTATTTATTTGTTAACTTACATTTACTTTAACTTAATCCATCAACATCTCCTTAATAGGTTCCGGGAGTGTTTGGAATTTCTTCTAATGCAGAATCTCAACCACCAACAACCATGCTTGCTTCCTCCCTCATCTTGAAACTCAGAAGGGTTCCCAAACAAGACCCCATTCCCTTCCAAGGGAATGGTATACCGAAAACCTGCAATTAAAAAAATACCCGTATAAACCCTAAATTATTTTCCTAGCAAACTAATATAATTAGGATGACAGATATAAATCTAGGTCAAACCTTGTAAGCAATCGCAATTTTCAGTTTCATTGGGAACAACATGAAGCACAGAGTCAATGATGACTTGCAAAAAATCCCTCTGGTATGTGCCCCGTGTTTGTTCTTGCACCACCTTCTCTGGCTTCCATATCTCTCTATTGCCCTTGGTCAGAAGATATTTATAAAAATTTACCCATAAAAAAATTCATGATGTGTAATATATAAAATAGAAGTAACCTAATGGGAGAATACAATAGAAGTAATATATGAGTATTATTATTATTTAATTGGAGAATGGGAAAATGGGAGAATAGGAGCAGACGGAGTAGATGGAGAAGCAAAATGGGGTTTAGGAGGCTGAAAGAAATTAGAAACGGGTGGAAAATTAGGGTGTCAAAGAAAGGGATATTGTTATTATTATTTATTAACGTGAGTTAAGTAGTTAGATAATAATGAGTATTTTATTATTATTTCTTTTTGGTAATTAAGAGAATGTGATATTATTATTATCTTTATTGAAAAAGGATAATCTTAAGGGTTTGGTTAGTAGGATTGTAATTTTGAGTTTTTTATTTTAATTTTCAAAATTTTAAAAACTCTAAAATAAAATTAAGAAATTTTATAAATTAATTAAGTTTTGAGTTTTTGGTATTTATTTTAAAATTTTATACTCAATAACTTGGTAATTTTAATTTTAATTTTGATTTATTATTATTACTATTATTTTGATAAGAAGTACAGTTGTATTAATAATTGAAAAACAATTATAATACAAATTATATCTTATCAAATAAGCTAAATAGGAAAGAAGAAAAAGCTAGGAAGGATCTCTGATGCTAACATATAAAGTTAAGTGTTCCATATAAATAGAGACAATTAGGAATTGAGAACATCTAAATATTAGTATATGTCATGGGGCATCAATAGAGCTATGTAGTACAATAGAAAGAGTGCACTGGAGCTTACTAGCGTTGCTGACAATTACATCTATTTTACCACCCAAACCTAGCATAGGAGATCAGTGGACTTGGTGATGTAGTGTCTCCCAGCACTACAATACTCTGTCCATCCACAATTGCTTGTTAACTCGTAGATGGAGGGAAAGGATCCGTCTGTGTGGCTAGGGAAGTGCCCTTAATACCCATCAACTGCAACTTTTCCACCTTGAAAGCATCTAGTTTCCAAATTGAGAGCAAGGGGAGAATGTCGTCTTCATCCTCATCAAGACAAGCATGACTAAGCATGGTTCCAATTCCTTCATCTGCCATTCCTAGATCTAAATTAAACTGCCAAACCCTATCCAGTCGTAAACCACCTAACTAGTTCGCAGCCATCCTAGCAATCCTCAACCCACTAAAACAATCCACCTCCAACCTAACAATCTGTCTTATAGATTTGAAATAGCCTCCCATCAATTGCTCCCCAAATCTAAAAGAATTAAAATGAAATGAAAAGGGAAATAAAAAAGAAACAAGGGAAGGGCAAGCAAATGGAGCGGATGCAGGTAAAAGAGAAGAAAAGAGAGGGAGCTCTGAAGTTGGAGAGAAGACCCAAAGGGGAAACTTACTGCCCCAAAACTCTAAGGATTTCAAAGCTTTAATTATTAATTTTGATTGTTTGGATTATGAAAAAAATTAAAAAACTCCAAACCACAATGAATAAATAATTTAAAAAACATGAAATATATCTATAATAATTTAACATTCTGCTAGTAACATCTAACAGCTCTATTGCCAAACATTAATTATAGAATAGTAGCAACAATTAACTATTAACTATCAACCGTTAATTATCAACTATAACTTATTAGTTATCAGTTATCAACCATTTGTTAAACTTGAACAGTTAATCCAAATGAACCCTTAATTAATCCTATATATTTAAGGATGTTAAAAGGTTTTGGGTGATGAATTTTTTCCTTTTGATAGTATTTATAGATGGTATGTTCTTAAATTATCGTTCACATATCTAAAGATTAATTTTTTTTTAAACAATTTTAAAAGCATATTCTCCACATTAGTATCGAGTATTTAAAAAACTTAATTATTTAAGTGTTAATTTTAAATTTTAAATCTTATATTTAACTTATAAAATAATATTTATTTACTAATAATTCAACTCTTGAGGTTATTGCCTTGATCTCTTAGCTAGGATGTATAGATCGTTATGATCTCTTGCTGCTGATATTTGCCGCCCAATTGCAATTTCATTTATAGGTTAGAAGTTAGAGAATAGAGATTGTAAGTTTAAATGACTTAATTTAATATTTAGCCATAGAAACTATACTTTTAGAAGTATATGGAGCAAAACGGCAAAACCCCTGAACAAGGATAGTTTTAATCAAAGAGCAACCGATTAAACCCCCTGAACAATGAATACTGACGTGAGAACAGTTTTGTCTAATTTATCCTTATTTAACATACACTAAGTTTAATACTTCTTTTGATATTTCTCTTAATTTAATTATTTAAATATAATACAAATATAATTAATTTTTATATTATATATAATTATATCATTAAATTTATATATTTTTGATTTTAAATAAAATGATAATAATTTTTTAATAAATATATTATATAATATGTTAAACAAAAATATACGGATCACTATCCCTAGTTATCGTTTGCCACCAATAGAAGATGTTTTCTTCAATTGCATGGAAAAATTTGGTCTCCTTATTTAGTGCTTTTACAATTTTAGTGCTTTTATAATTTTTATTATGATTTACATAATGGATATTGGTATATCTTTTAATTTAATATATTATACAATAAATTTAGTAAGAAAATTAGTATTTTTTAATTTAAAATTAAAAATAAATAAATTTAAAAATTCAATCATACATAAAAAATATAAAAATGAATTAAATTAATTATATTTATATTATATTTTAATAACTAAACTAAACAAATACCAAAAAGTATGTTAAATTAGATCAAATCCCAATTATTTTCCTTACACTATACAGGTAACCTCTGTTATTTCTTTACGCATCACACATGATCACTTTGAATACACTTATCATAATAAAATGTTACAAAAACGTTGAATTTATTTAGTTTGATAGATTTTATTAGTTTATAATTGATTAGGGTGTTTAAAAACAATAGCATATAGATTGGTTGTGGTTATGGCATAAGTCATTTTATTAAAGTCACACAATTTTTATTTTATTTGATTATTAAAAATAACTCAATTAATAAAAATAATTAATATTTATTATTTAATATATTAAAAATTAATTTATAAATTAATATTTTTATGTATAAGAATTGATTGTTTAAAAAAAATTACAATCTGATAAAATATCAATCAAATTAAAAAAAATTTATATGATCTTAGCAAAATTGTGAGCTTTTATAGAATAATAAAGGTTTTTTTTTTTTTTTTTGGTTTAGAATTTGTTTTCAAATGATAGTCATTTCTTAATTTAAGGAAGACATTTTTTATTTTACTTTAACTTTATAATTATCCCTTAACTTTAATTATCTGTCATTTGATCATTTATTTTTTAAAGATAAAATAAGTAAAAATAAAAATTGTTCCTTAATTTTTAATATGAAGATAAAAATTGTTCTTAAATTTTTAATATGAAGATAAAATAAAAAATACCTATTATTCTAGAATAGAAAGAGTAAATTAATTTCTAATTATTAGGTAAGAGATATCACTTGTTCTATCAATTAGAACCTTCATTTTAGAATAATAAGTTTATTTTATTTTATTTTTAGATTAAGAATTTAGGGACAAATTTTATTTTTGTGTATTTTATACTTAAAAAAATAAAAATAAAATATTATTTTAATAAAAAAATAATTATAATTATAATATAATCATAAAAT